TCCAGGTCCCTCTGGATGGCATCCCGTCCCTCTGGCATGTCAACCACACCACTCATAGAATCATTAAGGTTGGAAAAGACCTCTAAGATCATCGGGTCCAACCGTCAACCCAACACCACCATGCCCACTAAACCACGTCCCTAAGCGCCTCATCTACCCGTCTTTTAAATACTTCCAGGGATGGTGACTCAACCACTTCCCTGGGCAGCCTCTTCCAATGTTTAACTACTCTTTCAGTAAAGACATTTTTCCTCACGTCCAATCTAAACCTCCCCTGGCGCAACTTGAGGCCATTTCCTCAGATGACTCAGCTTGGTGTCATCTGCAAACTTGCTGAGGGTGCACTTGATCCCACTGTCTGTGTCATTGATGAAGATATTAAACAGTACCGGTGCCAATACGGACCCCCGCGGGACATTATGGGGAGCTGCTGCTGTTCCGTATGTTTCTGAGAGTAGCATGATGCTTTATACTGGTATTACAGAGGGTTCTGAAAAAGAAATGCAGTTGGAGTAAAAACTTGAAAAAGTTTATCTACTGTGTTCCTGGTCTGGTGTTCGTACTTCAGAAGCATGCTATGTTAAATTATGTTTCAGTATTATTTCTGGATTATCTTAGTTTTCACTTTTTGCTAGTAATCTTAAAATAGTCTCACTTAAAAGATTTCTAAAAAACAAATAATTGTGAGCATGGATCATTGCTGGAAAGTTTGAATTATTAGCTTAACTCTTCTGTTTTTGCAGGACTTCAAGAATATGTTGAGGCAGTCTCATTTCAGTATTTTATCAAAACACGATCTTTGATTAGTGTTGAAGAGATCAACAAACAACTAATATTTACAGCGGAAGACAGAGAAGAAACAACAAACACGGTAAAAGTTTTTCTTTTCTCATGTGACAAACATCTTTCTGGGATGAAAATGCAATGAGTAGGTTTAGTCACATTTTTGGCATCTGATTGAATAAGGCCAGTTAGTGGAATGGTATTAGATATACGTGTGGGCTTCGACTCACTTGTTCAAAACGTGCTTTTTATTCTGACAAATAGTAAACTAAGTCCGTGGGATACAAGTTTATAAATTTCACATCCTTTTTATTCAGAGCAAACTGAACTCCTTCTAGTAGGGGGAGAGATCCAGGATAGTGAAATACTAGCAAACAAACGTAGAGGAGGGATTTTTAATGGCTGTGACTGCCTGTAAGGCCTACTGGTGTATAGTGAGTGGTGTAGCAAAAGTTGGGGGAGACAAACGAATCCGAGGCAGGATGAACTCCATGAATGAAATCTTACTGCTGGTACCGAACTAGTCACAGGAGGCACTGTATTCAGTTTCTGTTAAAATGCACTGCATATGTCTTAGCGTGGTCATTTGTAGCTTTCCTGGAGTTGGTCTTGATGCTTCCCCTCAGAGGACAAGCTTGTGTCCCATCATCATACCTTAGCCCTAATACCATATCTGCTGTTTCTTGACTTGCCCGTACTCCTACCCTGCCCTAAATAGAACTTTTTGCATAGGGACAAGCTACTGCCACCGACCACAGTAAACTAGGTACGGTTTGATTGTTGACAGGGGACAAAAGGCTATTTTGTAATAATGTACCGAAATGCACACGCAGTGCACGTGCAGTGTACAGTAATGCACAGCGCTACTGCTTTAGATGAATTCCTGAGTCTGCTTCTGTTGAAGAGATTCTGCTGTAAAGCACTTTTTATTCTTTCTTCATTCTCTTGGTAAGATATTGCAAAGAAGCCAAGTTCTTAGCTTAAGTTCATTTGTTCTTACCAGAGGCAAACCCATTGTGGCACACTTGTTTTAACAAATTGTGAAGTTGTTAACCCCGGTGCCTCTGACCGGGTTTGTGAATTCGGGTGGATAGCATGTTACGGGAACAAGGGGACAGAAAGAAACCTGCGTTGTCCCCCACCTTACCGATATGTTGGCAATAAAAGGTATTGGAAGCTTGGATATAGGAGCAAACTTGTAACTTTGTGATGAGTTTTCTTCATGAAGTATTTTTTTAGCTATTTTAATGAGTTCAGTTGATATAAAACGGATCTGAGAGAACTATACCTATCAGCTTCTTGTAGAAACTGTATTTTGAAATTCAAGATGCTATTACAAAATGATATGATTTGTTTTCATAATGCAGACTCTTTTTGATTCTTGATTGCTTTGGTAGCTTTGGACAGACCACTTAGGAAAAATTTAAATCTATTAGGCTGAGCTCTGTGAGCCAAAGGAAAAAAAAAAAAAAAGCAACTGCAAATAAATGTTGGTACAAAGACGTGATAATCCTGTTTGCAAATCGAGATGGTAGAAGCATGGTACGTTTATCATGCTTGCTAGAATGGAAATCACATCTCAAGTGGAAACGATGCTTTCATACCTTCCGGTGTGCTGGAAGGAGATTAGTACTTCTGAAATAAGACTGTGTGGAAGTGCCATGCAATTTAATTTTCCGGAATGTTTTTAGTTACCGGTTATGTTAGACAAATTAGTGTGTATTTGAACCATTATAGACTGCTTTTTCATAGTTCTCTGTACTGGACTTTGTTCTGTTCTGTCCTCAGACCTCCAATTCCCATGATAAACAACCACACACTTGGAGCCTGAAGGTAACGCCTGTAGATTACCTGCTGGGAGTGGCTGATCTAACTGGAGAGCTGATGCGGCTGTGCATCAGCAGTGTTGGAAACGGTGACATAGACACGCCTTTTGAACTGAGCCAGTTCTTATGTCAGATTTATGATGGTTTTACTTTCATTGGCAACACTGGACCTTACGAAGTATCTAAGAAGCTGTATACCTTGAAACAGAGTCTGGCAAAAGTAGAGAATGCCTGCTACACATTAAAAGTACGGGGATCCGAAATCCCAAAGCACATGCTGGCTGATGTGTTCTCCACCAAAACGGAATTGATTGACCAAGAGGAGGGCCTTTCTTAAAATAAGGAGACTGTCGCAACTCAGAAAGGAAGAGGACTTAGAGAAAGATTTTAGTTATGGTTTGTGGGGTTTTGACTCTTCTCAAAGCTTTTTAGGTAGAGACATTTTTAGTTTTATCTATGAGAAGATTGTTTGCAGTGGTAATTTGTAACCAAAAATACTTTTTATGATGTGCAAGAGAACAGATGTTTGACTTTGTCCTCTCGGTATGGAATTTCCTGTATTGCTCCATTGTATCTTCTTTCAGAATGGCCAAAATTTCCACTGTGCTCTACACCAGTGACTGCCAGTTCTGTGAGTCACCTCAAACTGTTGTGGTTGCTGTTATCAGTTTTCAGCAAGCACAGCAGTGGAAAAAGAAATGGTTAGGTACTGTTATTTAGCATTATCCATAGGTTTCTGCTGACACCTGTTTTCTGAATATTTGGGTGCTATATTCATGTCATACCCAAAACAATGCACCTATATATGTGTAAATTCATCCCTTGACTTGAAACTGAGGTGGTCTCAAAGGTGACATGTAACTTAAGTTTTCACTGATTAATGCTTTTGAGCATGAAACTGAAGCTCAGTCAACTTTTCAACAATTGATAATGAAGCTAATTACACCAGGTAGATACTACTGTGCACTCATTATTTCGGGGCTCCGGTTAAATTTAGCTCTGTTTAAGTTAACACTGGTACTTCACAGTTTTGACATGAGCTAGAAAATCCACCAAAAAAAAATATTGTGGAATGTATTGGTTTACATTTTTTGTAATACAGTTCAGTGCAGAATCTGACATCCTTCTGTCTGTAGACAAAAGCAGATCATCTACCAAGTATGTTTAACATGAATAATTTGGTGTTAGGACAAGCAGGTTTTGGCCAAAACAAATGCGGTGCGGTGTTGGAAGTCTGTTCTCCATTGTTTGTGCTGCCCTGAGGACCTCCAGCGGGGTTGAACTGGTATTAGTGAAAAAAGGCTAGCCAAGCTTTAAATATCTGTTAGCAGGGCCTATATCATGTGCATGTTCCTATGGAAAGGAAATTGCAAACAGAAATAAGGCAGACATTCTGACTTCCACATTTATCTTTGAGGTGGGTATGTCACCATTGGCAAAAAATCAGGGCTTTCTGCCGGTGTCTGAAGTTATGAAAGTCTGATAATGTACATTATGCTAAAGGAAAACAGATAACATGATCTTTAGACTCCAGGAAATAGGCCTCCCAACTGCAATTGAAAATACTGCGTGTTTTTTATTTCCACTTCCATATGCTGTGATACTGCCAATATTTTTCCCATGAGCCTGTCCTGAGTAGCTGGGATCATCTGATACATGGATAGGAACGGGTAAATACATTTCTGTCACATTTTTCCATTGTTTCCACATAAAGCAATATGTGGTGGGTTGAACAAGGAGTGGCTTTTTTCCTATTGTTTAATACTATTTTTTACAATAAATTCTGAAAAGCAGTCACTGCCTGTACGTTGGTCCTTTTGCCCGTTGGTCCCAGCAGTAAATAACAGTGCGAGTTTCCCACTGTGCAGGACTTGACTTGGAAATTTCACTCCATTCCTATATTCATACTTTGAGGGGCACTTTCTAATCCTGAACCTCTTTTCTTTTTCTCCCTAACTTTATTCTGTGAAGTCTAAAAACTAGTTAGGATAGAAACTTTATGTGATCCTCTTGAATTAAAAAAATGCAAAGGATTCAGATGACAAAATGAGTTTATCACTGGAATAAACCTGCAATGGTACCCACATTTTTACATCTCTCTGTGTTTTTTCTCTGCTTTTTTTCTGATGGGAGGAGGGGAAAGAAAGGAGAAGGATACTTATTAATAAGGAATGGTTTTGAGGTTTGTTTTTTTTTTTTTCCACAGAAATGTATGCATCTAGTACTTCAGTTGATGCGGGCAAGAGTACAGTTCTGTGTCTTTTGGCACAGCTAAATCTACTGCAAGTAACTGCATGTTGAGTGAATGTCTGAAGCGAAAGCAGATAGTTCCTAGAGGTATTGTGTGATACTAAGAGGTCTGTCTCTTGTCTGTCCTAGCAGGTATCAGGTGGAACTTAAAAATTTTCGTGGCACAGTTTGAAAAAGGATGAGATGAATTCCAGCACGTGGCAGTGCCGGGCTGAGTGACGTTCTGCCTCTAGCCACGGAACGAGCACACAGTGGCCACCGCTTCAGTCAAACAGCTCCTGCTTTTGTACAGTCATTCATTATTTTAAAATTACAGATGTCTAAGCCGCGTACTTTTTTCTAGCAGTCTTTAGAGGTTCCTTCAAAAAATACATATTGGTTCTAATGATTTTGAGATTTAAATTTTCTGTAAGGCTAGAGAAAACATTTTAATGACAGACGTGATTTCTAAACTTCAGGCTGGCTGTCCATAATCTAAAGCTGTGAATAATTTCTAATAGGGAGCAAAGTGTATGTGTGGTGTATTAAAACACCAGCCCAGATGGGAAACAGCTAATGGCCTTTTTTCTGCTGAAGGAAATATTTTCCCCAAAAAACAATTACACCGTAGCTATTTGAAAAGTGACAGACATTTATCAGCAAAACAAGCTGCTAAACAAGCAATGGCAATTTTCCCATTTCTTATCCCATTACTCTGTGGAGCTATTGATATGCTTGGTCTACGGCCAGAACAGGACTACGTCATAGCAGATGTTTCATGAGGGCAGCTCTGCGTGCTAAAAATCATCTGCCTTTCTAGAATCTCCTTTCTCAGAAATGATTTTTCTTTATGGGTTCACTTTTGTCCTGACTATTAATTTGCGGTGAGGAAAATAAACCCAACCGCATTTAGCTTCCAGAGAAGTTATGCAAGAGAAACTTCCTGTTGACAGGACATGTGTGTCTGTCTACTTAGACTCCTGCTTACTTGGATTTTCAGTGAGTTTATTGAAAATCGAAAGCAAAAAAATTAAAATAGGACCTTTTATAATATTTAGCATATTAGGTGCCTTATGGAATTCTATGGACCGGATCCTGGCACTGCTCTCAAAGAGTTCGCAATGTAAGAGTAGGCAAAAGAGTAGCCAAGACAAACAAAAGGAAGATGGTAGAAAGGAGGGGAGATGAAGTGACAGGATTTTTACCGGAAGACTCTGTGTGGTAGTAGGTTGGTTTACCACTTCCCATGTCGGAAACGAAACTTGTCAAAACTTCAGAAAGTCTGGGGTGTGACAGTAAAGGGTTAGCTGGGAAGGGCGAAGGCAGTGGAGAGGCAAAATGGAAGGAAGTGAGGTAGAGACAAAGGGGGGAAGAGTGGCAAGGACTGGGACGGCATGGAGGAAGAGCAGGCTGAGCTGCAGGACAGCGAGTGCACAAGTGAGTAGGGTGGGACTGGGGAGGACGTGGGACAGGAAGACAGCCCTGCAAGAACTTGGAAACAACACTTCGAAACCAGGTGACCCAGCTATAAAAGAGACTTGGAGTTGACCGTAGGAACAGAATTTAAAATGACCCCAAGGTTCCCAAAGCATCCATCTCTCCTTGGGTCGTAAATAAGGGGAACTTGATTTTCTGAGCAGCTGAGAACCTGCAGGTCCTGGACTGAGCAGGGTTTGCGGGCTGCCAGCCATGCCGTCACAAATCAACAACGGGCTCCTCGTTCCCACACCACCCAACTTGCCGTGCACGTTCCCTTCACTCCCGTACTGGTAGCCACAATCCTTGATGTGTGAACCACCACCGTTTGCAGCTGTTAGAGGCATGGTTAGATACAGTTTTTAACATAAAGGAATGCTTACGGTGACCGCTGTTTTCCCCTTGTGTGCTGTGTACGTGTCCGTTTCGCTGTCACTGCTGCTTCAACCCCCTCTCCGTTTCTTCCCTTTCTTTACTTATCCTTTCTTAGGCGGTACCGTTCTTCTGAGCCATCGCCCATGTCCATCCCATGTTCGGTCCTTCCCGTGTTTAGCTGGCATCCTGGGGTAAAACGTCTCCATGCAGGAAGAGGAATCTGTTGGTTTCTTACGTAGGTTTGTCTACTTGCACCTCCACATTTGGAAGCAGCGTTTCTGGCTGTGAGGGGGGAGGTCTGGTATTCTTGCACTCAAAAGGCCTGGTGCGTGTGTCCTACGGCAGCCATGGTGCCGCGTGTCAGGATGGATGGGTGGGCAGATCTCACGTTGCTTTTGCAGGTGAGCAAACCTCAGTTATTCTGAGGTTTGCAATCATCACGAGCCAAGGTAAATTGCCTACAAACATGAAAGAAGTTTCTTCTCCAGTTCTGAGGAAGGTTGTCTTTGAGGAGTATTATTTCCCACCACCTCCACCTCTTTTTACCTGACCCTTTATGCCTTTGAAAGGCCTATTTGCAGAACGTAGCAGAAGAGACCTACCTATGACTTCTTCTGGAGCCAGTCGGTGCCTCCCTGAACACTGGCCAAAAGTGATGCGATGGCTCCTTTCTCAGCTCCTCCCACAGGCCGGGCAGGCTGGCTCTGGTCTCCCTCCGGCCACCCGGGGGCTGAAGTCTGAGCCTCCGCTATTGGATTTTGCAGACCAGTGACATGTGGGTTCATCCTCTTTTTTTCTAGTGGTGGTGTTTTCATGCTGTGCAGATGTTTACTCCTCCCAAATAAAGGGGTTGTTGTGCAGGCTCTGCTCCTCCGCTGCCACAACAGGTCAGATGACCTCTTGAGCCCACCATAAGCTGTCTCTCAGCTACTGGTGCAGTGCAGGTTTCATGGGACATCATCTATCTTTGGGCACTTCTCCCACAGCCCTGTGCTTTCCTGCAGGCTTGCAAGTCCCTTTTAATCCAGGAGGGTCCTACCACTTCTATTTAATTCTTCCTTAAGGTCCTCTTCTCTCATGTCTCCAGCAAGAAGAGCTCACAAAACTGATCTGGGAATAGCCCAGTTTTTTGTAAAAATGAGCTTTTGCATGCTTGGGGACAGGAACCAGATGGGCGAAGGATGCACTTGAATAGAGAGTCCTGGGCGTTTCAGTGTCATAGGAATATTGTTAAGTGCTGGCAGTCTCATTTTAGGAGGTGGTGGGGGGGGGGGTTTCTCTTCTTGCAGCAAGGACTGTTGGTAGGTACATGTTGCTTTGTGTACCTCACCCCTACAGGGGAAGGTGATGGACAGGAGATGACAGGGCTGTGAGGGAAAATGAGTAAGATGAAGTGGTGCAAGGTCATACAGCAAATCAGTTGGGAGCCTGGAGTTAGACTCGGCCCCTTCAACTTCCAGCCCAGCTTCCACTGCTGCGAACCTGAGCTCCTTCCGCTCTCCAGAGTCAGCCAAGGCAAGAAGCTGCTCCAAGCCCTTTATGGGGCTGAAGCGCGAAGGCCACTCGCACGTGCAGGTCTGTCACCTACCACGTGTGTGTGCCCAGTGGGCAGGTAGCAGCGTTAGAAACGCTGATGCTGAACTTCCAGCCGGCCTTCGTAAAATCCTGTTTTCTCAGTGGAACCCGTTTTTCTAATCCATTCCCTGTTTTTTGAGCTGCGCGTGCATTTGCGCTGCCGGCCCCCCAGCCCGGAGCGGCACCTGCTCCCCTCCGGCCGGCAGCGTGCGGAGAGGGGCCCTGGTGGGGCAGGCAGCCGGGCTGGCTGCGAGCCGACACCTCGTGGTGCAAACCGTTGCCTTTGCCTTCTTCC